ATAACTTGAGTACTTTCCGTTACATTTGGACTACATCAACACCAAATATGCAAATAAAAAGGAGAGAAAAGAAATGAGAATAAGAAATATTGGTGCACTTATATTCTATACAACAGCAGAAACCTTTTAAAGGAAGATGGATGAAGATTTTTTGCATCAAAAAGTGTCCATCTCTCAGTGTATTTTAAAAAAGTGTATTTTAAAATTGTAATCCTGCTTAATACCTTTTTTAAAATCCTGATTACATAACATGTAATCCATAACTTCCTCAAGCCTGTCAATACCACATATTGCATTCAAATGTTTAAATGCTAATTATAATAATTAGATAAAAGTACAGTAAAAATCTACTTAAAGCTGCAGTTGGTAACTTTTATTAAAAAAAAAACTTTTTGTTATACTTGCGGAAACCTTCACTATATCCTGACAATAATTCATGAGACAGATAATCTGTGAATCCCCTGACGTGACTCAATTATCTATCTTTCTTGGCTCTGGTGAATTCTTGCAAATGCCCTCAGGAGCACTAGGCGGAGCCATATTCACAGATTATCTGTCTCATGTACTACTGTCTGCATTTAGTGAAAGTCTCAGCAAATATAACAAAAAAGTATTTTTTTATAATAGTTACCTGCTGCAGCTTTAAAGTAGAAACACTCATTATGCAAGCAGTTAAATTATTAAACAGTATATTGTTACATAAAGACGCACATATTAGCACCATTTCATATTTTATCTGGTTGAGGTGAAACTAAACTTTCCAAGACACTTTTGGGCAGTTAAATTTACTGTATAACAATCATTTCAGTAGTGTAACATTTAGGAGGATCTATTGGCAGAAATGTAATATAATATTCATAGCCATGTGTATAATCACCTAAATAAAAGAATTGATGTGTTTTTGTTCCTACACACTTCACAACCCCTTGTCATTTCCAGGTCGTACCTCTCCACCTTCACCTCTAGATGCCGCTAAATCCTATACACTGGTCCTCTAAATGTATTTAAATGTATTTTCATATTGCTTTATGTTGCTTTTACATTTTGTCTTGATGCCTTTTATGTAAAGCACTTTGAATTAAAATGCCTTGCCTTTCCTGAATCAGGAAAGTAATCAGAAACTGCTGCATAGCTGTCAAATAACTAATTTCCCTGTAAAATATGGTGGTGTAAAAGTATACAGAATCATAAAATGGAAATACTCAAGTCAAAATCAAGTACCATGAAACTGTACTTTGTTACGTTCCATCATTGATTAAGTCTGTTTGTGTTTCAGTATTTTAGAAGTCTGTTGATAGGTGTTCTGCTGACCTCCAGTGGTATCAATGCAAAATGCAAAAACTACACACAATACACAAATTGATTTGAACTGCTTAGAGAACACATGTGACACTGCCTGAACAACTCACGTCCAGTGCTGATCTATGTGGCGCCCTGTGTGGTGCAAATATCTTCCAGTCAAACTATTTGGTAGTCATAGCACAGCTGTTGGAGCCACACATACCAGAGAACAGATGGAAGGACTGTATTGAACAAACCCTACAGTCACAGCTACACTTCATCCAAGGTCTGACATCCACTAGAAGTCTACTCAAGTTGTTTTAAGGTGTTTCAAAATGATAAAAAGTTTTTTTTTTTGACTGCATCTCTGTTCCAAATCAAACATCTACTACAGTTTGGCTGGTATCTATCTTTCTTATCAGCCTCATTTACAAGTCCTGCGGGCACACCCCTCATATAGAAACTCCAGCATTCCACAGCTGTCACTCTTTTGATGACAGCCAGGCACTTAGGCACTAACCTGAAATTAGGTCAAAGATCCTAATACCTTCATTGTTAACAGAGCAGAGAATAGATCGTCCTTGAATACAAAACTGAAGGCATCAGTGGTCAAAACATGCAGCCAAAAGTTCTGTTTAAAAACTAATATCCTTATACCAAAGTTTTCAATGTATGCATTTTAATCCAGTTCATCATACTTATTTTAATAGTTGCCTTTGGTATAGATTTTGAAAAAAGCTAACCTTTTCTGGCATTATAAGCAAAGCATTTCACTGTAGCCAAGACTAAGTCAGTCACTTTTGTGCCTCTTTCAAATGAATTAAGGTTGATACATTGCAAAACAAACGGCAGTGTGTATTTTTTATGGGATCAATTCTAGCAGACCATGACCAAAACAAGTCTGGGTGACATTTTAAAAAGGGGATTCAAAAACTGCAGCTATCCAAACACTGAAAGCATGAAAAATGAAGCAACGGGTATATTAACAGGAAGAACAGACAGGAAGCAAAATGAAGATACAGTAACTTTAAGGTCCAGTGTGCAACATTTATGAAGATCTATTGGCAGAAATGGAAAATAATATTTATAACTATGTTTTCATTAATGTAATCAATACCATTCTCAAGTGTGGTGATGTTTTAGTCAAAACATAACAAAATTGACTGCGCAAACATAGCTTTGCCACCTCTTCACCTACTTTCCATTGTTATGCGATCAGTCTCATACATCATTTATGAGGATCTATTATTCCGTGTTTTGAACAACAAGACTTCTGTAATGTTATACTGTGTTGAAATAAATCAACTAAATCCTTGCTTGTTCCAACACATTCAGAATTATTAGAGCTTTTTCCGGTATAATTTAACAGGCGGCTGTTTATATATATATATATATATTTAAATAATTAAGTCCATATCAAAAACGTTCTGTTAAACTAATAACTACTAGTCGACAAGGAACATCTGTATTCGGGGACAGCCCTAGTATGATCATATAGCTTTGCCACCTGTTCCCCCACTTTCCATTGGGATGCTATCGATGTCATACATCTAAATCTTCTTATATTATTGATTTCTGGTGGATTACCCAGCACATTTTAAAGGATAACATTTAAAACAGTGTTAGAATCAAGGACGAAGTGAGATACAAGATAATTCCCTCATGCCAATAGGATTAAGTCACATTACAGTATGTCAGAGGACGACACTGCATTATGTTCACACTCTCACATTGGAATTTGTTGGCTCCTGCAACATGACATTTCTGGCTCTAGCTGGTAATACAGCACCATAGCAGCACAACAACACAATAAAACTATAAACAAAGTACAATCACCTGAAAGGGAGCATAGACATTACCAAAATTGAACATGTTTTGCACATTTGTTTATGTTATAATATCGTACAAAAAAGCACATATTTGATTCAAACTTTTTAAAATTGAAACTGTTTATCTGTAATAAGGGTTACAGCAGTTCAAGGAGCATTCT